TCATCTCATAGAGCTGTTCTCTGTACCTTAGGTGCAATCTCTCTAAGGCATTTCTTAACAATCCAAGCTTTTTCATCTCACTTATGTTTACTTTAATCCAGATGTGGAATTTTTGTTCTTTTTCATCTAACACAGAATGCTTATTTGATTGGAAGGACTACTGCCTGAAGCCTTAAGGAAATTGGCATATGACTTTCATACTGAAATTAGATTGCAAATGAAAGTGGAGTCCATGTAGTAAAACTATATTAGAACAGAAGCCTTTTATCTCTACACTGTGTCTTTACATACATATTATCCCCAGGATTATCTAATTACTGTGATCAAGGCTGATGTTAATAAGATAATTTAATAAATGTCTAATACCATACTCATGGGCATTAGGAAGGAGAAAGGCAAGTCTGGACTACTTGAAAGGGTAGAGGCAAATAAAAGAGGATTAAGTTGCTGGGAAACAGTTTATTTGTATAATACTGTTCTCACAATTAAGAAAATAGCACCATGATATATGCAGGGCCGGCCCTAGGTAATTTTCAATGGTAAGCAAACATTATTTTGGCGCCCCCCCCCCCAAAAAAAAAACCAATCACTGAAAAATAAAAGGTAGAGGTGAATAAAGAGTTACCTTAAAACCAGAAGGTTACTTACATTATGTTCATATAGTTACATTACATAGAATTAACACAAATTAATGTTTTTTAAATGCAAATATTTTATTAAACTTGGCAACAATTTTAAGTTTTTGTTGTTATTTTTGATCTACAAGTATGACACAAAGGTTTCACAGAAAATACAAGATCTTTGCATTATGACAATTCCGCTGAGACAATTGAAGACAGAACAGCCCTTAATACATGCATACATATACATACACATACATACATACATGAACACACACACACACACACATATATATATTATTTCATTTGGAATTGCAATGCATTCCATCACACACACACTTAAATAAATATTCTGTATTTATGGAACGAACGGCTTCCTTTCTGCAAGGACTTCTTCTAGAATGCATGGCAATTCCAAAGAAAATAAAATATTTTGGACCACAACAAGTAAGTCCACTGAGACGACTAAAGATAGAATAACCTTATCTATATAAATAAATATATAATTTTCGTTTGTGGGATTAACATAACTCAAAACCCACTGGACGAATTGGCACCAAATTTGGCAGCAAAACACATACTAATCCAATCTATGTCTGTCAAACAAAAAAAATCTCTGGCTGCTTCTCATTACTTTATTTTGCATACCACCACACTACCCCAGGGTGCTATTATTATTATTATTATTATTATTATTATTATTATTATTATGAGTCTAAATGGCCATCTATCAGGAGTGTTTCAATTGTGCTTTTCGCTTATGCCAGAAGGAAGTTGGATTGGATGGACCTTGGAGGTCTCCCTACTTTATGATTCTATTACTATTATTAATAATAGTATTATTATTAAGCAGAGTCTCTATGGCCATCTGTTAGGAGTGCTTGGATTGTGTTTTTCCCTTATGGCAGAAGGAGGTTGGACTGGATGGCCCTTGGAGGTCTCTTGCAACACTAGGATCCTATTACTGTGAATTCCTCCCAAACCCCTCCAGAGTTTTCTGCTGGTCATGGAGGTTCTGTGTGCCAAGTTTGGTTCAGATCTGTCATTAATGGGAGTTTTAATGGTCTGTGGAAGTCTGAGCTGAATCAGTTGAAGGTACTCCAAATCCCATCAGCTTGATTAGCATTCAATGGCCTTGCAGACAAGAGTCAATCAAGGCCAGCTAATATGTCTTAACAATGGATTCCCCCGGGCAGGAAGCAGCCAGGCTTTGAAGCTGCAAGGTTATTTGCTGCATCAGAAGCAAACCAAGGGTAAATTTGTAATGTATATAGAAAACACAAAGTTTAAAAACTTGGCATCCAGCTGCAAGGTCATTCAGTGCTAATCAAGGTGGCCAATGGCAACACTCACACTTGCCTCAAGCAGGCAAGAGTCCTTCTTCCCACTCTGGACATCATTCCACAGGGATATATATAAACCCCACTTGCCTAGTTTCCAACAGAGTTCCCAACACTCACACTTGCCTCAAGCAGGCAAGAGTCCTTCTTCCCACTCTGGACATCATTCCACAGGGATATATATAAACCCCACTTGCCTAGTTTCCAACAGAGTTCCCAACCTCTGAAGATGCCTGCCATTTATAACACATAACAATCTAATAAATATAAATAATTCATGTTAAAAATAATAACGTAATAAATAATAATTGTAAATAGAATAATAAATATAATAAAATATAATAATAGTAATAATTCCAAAGCTGAGAAGGAAATGGGGGCGAGTCAGTTTCCAACAGACCTCCCAATCTCTGAGGATGCTTGCCACTGATGTGGGTGAAACGTCAGGAGAGAATGCTGCTGGAACATTTTGAGCCTTCCAGGTGAAGCAGAGGCTTCAAAGGGTAGAGAGAAGAGCATGGAGTGGGGCAACAGCAGCAGCAGGTCTTCCCCTCTTCTCCTCCAGGGTCTTCCTCCTCTCCGTTTGGAGATCCCCAAATGGAAAGGAGGAAGAAGAGCCCAGAGGAGAAGGAGATGGCCAAGCCTCGCTGCTGCTGCTGCTGCCCCACGCTCCTCTTCTCGCGAGAAGAGGGGCGAGAAGAGAGTGGCACAGAGCAGCAGCAGCAGCAGCGAGGTCTTCCCCCCTTCTCCTCCAGGGTTTTCTTCCTCCTCCTCTCCATTTGGAGGTGCTTAAACCGAGAGGAGGAGGAGGAAGAGCCCAGAGGAGAAGGAGAAGGGGGGAAGACCTCGCTGCTGCTGCTGCTGCTCTGTGCCACCCCCCTCTTCTCGCCCCCTTCGATGCCTCGCCTCGAAGGAGGTGAGAAGAGGAGGATGGCACAGAGCAGCAGCAGCAGCGAGGTCTTCCCCCCTTCTCCTCCAGGGTCTTCCTCCTCCTCCTCTCCATTTGGAGGTGTCTAAACGGAGAGGAGAAGGAAGAAGCGCCCAGAGGAGAAGGAGATGGCCAAGCCTCGCTGCTGCCCCACACTCCTCTCGCCGCTCTACAAGGTGCACGGGGCATGAGGGGAGGGAAAGGCGTGCACCTTTCTCTTCTCCCTCGCAACGCCTTTCCTGCCTCTGCCGCCAGGAAAGGCACATGCGGGGCGAGAGGGGAAGAGCAGAGGCGCGCGCCTTTCCCGCGCGTGGGACGAGGCCCAATTGGAGGAGCATTTAAGGAGGCGCATGAGCGCCCCTGGGAAAAACAAAGTGTTCCGCGGTCGCTTACTTCGCGTAATGGAAAAACCGGCCCTGGATATATGTTGAACCTGAAAGAGATAAAAAGTGTAAAGGAGAGTAATCTATTGCAAAAATAATTAGTTTGAGAATATATGGTTAGAAGATTGTGCAGTGAGCAAGATGGAAAATGTATTTGTAAATTGATAGAGTATTACCTCATTTATGTAGTCTGATTTTTAAAAGTGTACTGTAGTTAATAACTAATGAAATAGACTGCATGTAGGTGCATGTAAAATACATATATCTGTGTGTGTGAGAGAGATTGCTGAGGAAATATTTCCATTTTCATTTCCATAAGTAATGCAGGAGAACTGAAAACATCACATTACTTTAATTAACTGCTGGTTTTTGTGGATTAATGATACAGTCTATTTGATTGGTATATTTATCATTGTAATGATATACTTGTGATCTGTGCAATGGTATGGTCCAGGCAAATGGCTGCTATTGTTGAAGAAAGTGACCAAATACTAATTAACAGCTGTTGAATGAGTACATGTGAACAGGCAGGTTAACCTAGTCTATTCTTTCCCAAATGCTTCAGCCTAGCTTTGTACTTCTCAATTAACATTCTCGTCAATGTTTATCTTTAAATGGGCAGGATGTTGCCATTCAGTCAATACTTACTCATGGTAGGGAATTGTGCTGGTACATTGTCTGTGGTTTTGTGTGTGTGTGTGTGTGTGTGTTCCACGCACACTAATCATGTCTTGAAAAAAATGAGTCAGTGCTATTTGACCATTGTTCTATCCTGGTGCAATCCTAGTTTTCTTTAGAGATGGAGGACAACATGATGTAATCCTTCATGGCTTGATAGGAGAACTGTGTTACAAGACTGAGTCTTGTCTTCTGAACACCCCATTATTAACTACAGAGTTAGCAATTAGTCAAAGTCCTATGCTCATTTGTACTTGTGGGGACAAGGAGAAAGAAGTTATACTGTCCTTCACCACGGGTGGTTGGGTAGGGTTATCAGACTTCACTATAGAATGATCCCGTGGACACTTATCTGAACTCAGTACTACCGGTTTATGAGTAAACATAGGATTAAGCCATATGAACATCCAATTGTATTTTACTAGATGCGAGGGCCACTTTCCTTGTTCATTTATAGATTACTTTAGTCAAAGGGTAGAATAAGAAGACTTACAGAGCACAACAGAAGAACACAGGCATATTACTTTACCAGTTCATTATACTCTTCCTTCACTAAGTCTATAGTTGGAGGAAAGAATATTTTATATAAATGGAGTCAGGTAAGTTATATCAATATATAGAAAGTCACTTGGTAACATGGTTTGGGGACTGTCTAGTTGATTCTGATTTAGAAGCCAAGTAGTTAGTTATTTTCAAGTATTAGTGTATATAATCTTTTCAGTTACTATATTATGTACTATAGTTAATGTATTACGAATGTTTTAGTTAATTTAATATTTTTAAGCTATGGGGATATTTTGTGAAATAAATAACTTTGCATTACAGAATTTGGAGGGGTGGAGAGGGGAATCCAAGGTGTTAATGCATAAACATATTTCCTTATAATATTCACTGCAATATGAATGAAAATCAGTAACATTTGTTCCCCAGCAGGCTTTAAAGTGTTTATAGGAGATGTAAATTTCACATCTCCTATAAACATTGTACATTGATAATATATGATAAGCCTCTGCTTGACTTTATGTTTTTCTCTTTTTTTCCACTCTTCTAGATGCTGAAGACTATCAACCTCCAATATGGAAATCATACTGTGAGTATCAGAAACTGAAATTCAGTGAGAAGGGGACAAAGGATACAAGTCTGGAGAAGTTCTATGTATTTTCCCCCCTCCTTTTTCTTTGGTTTTTCTTCCTGACTTGGGGTTTTTTTTAAAAAAGGGGAAAGAGTTATACTTAAACATACGCTGTTATAAATGTGTCTTAAATATTAATACGTGCAAAGTTACAAGTTATTTAGTGAGTATGTGAAATAACCTGAATGGTTTTAAGACTGGTGAGACATCAGGGATTTTGTGTAGCTATAGGCTCTCCCACCTAGTACCATGAAATTAAACTACACTTGTAGTCCTATCAAACCTAACAAGAATTACTTTGAGAAATTGTGTATAGGTCTACAGTGCACATGGCTATTAAGCTCATTCTTTCTCTGTATTTTCTAATTTCTGAAATGGATAGACTGACCTTCTGAACTCCTGCTACCTGAATGGAATTTTAATAGAACACAAAGGTCAGGAGCAGAAGGACAGAACTCACACATATGACTAAAACATGTTGATGAGTAGATGCTGCAGTACTAAATCTGAAATGTGGGCAGAAAAAGATATTTAATCCAGATTGAAGGGCTGTTTTTGGCATGTTTCTGGACAGTCCTTAAAAACTCATTTTACTGTTTCTCCCTAACACACTTGGAAGGACATGCCATATATTTTATTCCTCTTTAATGCAAAACCGTGGGAAGGGAAATGTTGCTGCCAATCTCATAGTTTACTTTTCCATAAACGTGATTCATTTTCCCATTTTTAGTTTTGCAAGGTTAAACCTGCAGTGAGTCACGTTTTAAAAAGGAGTGTCTTTTTCTTTAACTCTGATCGCTGTTTTCAGATCATGGTTCAAGGAAATTGCGATGATTTGATTGCAGCTTTTGCTTCAGGGAACTTGCCTTTTACTAAAGGAATATTGAAGAAGATGTCTGCCATATCTTTACTTCTGAAAAACAGCCTATATTTTGAATATTAAAATGAAGAAATCTGAAGTATGGAAATATAAATTGATGTTTTTTAACAACTATAACCAAGGCTGGATTTTGGAAGCCTCTCATTCATACGGTCACCATATATAGAATGGGCCATAACAACTGTAATAACAACCATTTGTAGACAATGGGTCTGCATCTAATTTTACCACTACAGCTGTCATCATGTGTCTACTCAGTTTAGCTCTTTTTAAAAAAATACTTAGGTACATACCATGTGTAAACTATTCCAGCTTGACTCCAAAATCTGGGCAACATAACTCTTGACTAAAGTTCAGTCTGCTATCAAAGCTCTTCTGCCTGCTTGCCATCTCACTTCCTTTGTGATGGCTGTAGTCAAATGTTTATATAAACAGCATATTGTATGCATGTTTTCAAAAAACAAAGAAAAAGGAGCCAAGAGAAAGAATTCAGAATGGGGACAAATTTCTTTGTGAAATTTCATCCTAGTACTCATTTGGTTTGGGAACCTTATTAAAATGTGAGAAGGAACCTCTCATATCCTAGCTCCGTGTATTTTAAAAATTGTGCCTGGTCTCCGATACACAAGTATAAGAAGTTGTTTGTAACTCAGGTCCAGCTAGAGCACTTGAGTGCAGCATATGGAAGTGGCACACATCCCATGCTGATTGAATTGAACATTTCTGGGTTCCCCTCCAGCTTAATTCATAATTGACTCAGTTTATCAGGCATTTTCAGAAAGCTTCTCTGAGGATCCTTTATGATGTCGATTTTCCTTTTCCCCACACTATCTTGAAAGGAGGCAGCTGGCAACACTGTAGGTTTGATTCTTACATCTTTGGGCTTCTGTGACCCACATATGTTCCTGGGCATCCTAAAATCAGTTGCTAGAAAAACTTTAAAATTTGATTCCTAAGCTCTCTTGTTCTATTAGACAGTGGTTCTCAACCGGTAGTTTCCCAAGTGTTTTGGCCTACAATTCTCAGAAATCCCAGCCAGTTTACAGGCTGTTAGGATTTCTGGGAGTTGGCCAAAACATCTGGGGACCCACAGGTTGAGAACCACTGCATTAGAAGTTTTGAGACAAAGCTTTTGCTACCAAAAGACCTTCCCAATTCCATCGTCTCATACTCATCAGAAGGATGGATTTTGCTGGTGCTCTGTCAACTCTGCAGCATCTAGGTTTAGCTCATAATTGGTGAGACCATTTCAGAGCTCACCATTGAGAATTTCTCCCTCTTTGCTCCAGCTAAATCCTGTACTACCTTTTTACCTTTTGTAATAGGTCAGAGCTGGACAACTGTGGTCAGGGCTGGACAACTGTGGAGAGGGCTGGGGTCTTCTTCCTGTCTACACACATACATGGATTTTTGATGGAGCAAGAAGTGATATTCGACAATACATTAATATTATGACCATTTAAATATTCAACAGAAATTATGTCCTTGGGATATTTTTTTTTACCTTCATAGAGTTTGAAGAAGTACTTTGGACAAGGGGATATTTTTTTTTACCTTCATAGAGTTTGAAGAAGTACTTTGGACAAGTACTTGAAGAAGTACTTTGGACAAGGGGACTTAAACTACCATAATTTGATACTTTTTATTTGAACTTTTTGGACCAAGAAAATCCCAGAAAAGGAAGGGAAAGTATCCTATAGTGTATATTTTGCATAAAAACTGAAGTTTAAAACAAAATATTGTAGATTTTCACAACTTTTCTCCAAAAAATCTTGGGATGCATTTTTTAAAAAAAAATTATCATAAGCTCATATAACTGTGAAAGTAAAGGGCTGGATAATAACCATAGAGTCATTCAGAGCAGTGCCACTGTTTCCCAAACTCTGGTCTTCTAGTTAGTTAAGACTTGCGTTCCCAGCGTCCTGATCATTAGCCAAGGCAGATGAGGCTTCTGGGAGCTAAAGTCTAAAATTCCTGGAACAGTTTGAGAATCATTAATTTTAGTGCAGTCCACTGCCCATAAGAATCCTCAGCTAAGATATTCCTCCAAGACCTATATAAAAGCCTCCAACAAGGGCAAATCAATGCCTTGTAAGATAATCTGATCAACTTTTGAATAACCCTTATAATCAAGAAGTTCTGCCAAATCTCTTTTCTTGGAATTTTAATACATTTGTCAGGGGAACAGTTTCTTTTACTTTGAAAAAAGGACTGTCTAGATCAGTGATTCCCAACCTTTTTTTTTTTTAACCAGGAACCACTTGACCAGGGATCACTCTCCAACATTAGCACCAAAAGGGAATGAATCAGTTTTTGGTTAACTTTAGATTTGGTTTGGTTATTTAGGGTCTGATTCAGAAAATTGCATTGGATAGACCATATCAGCTCTAGTTTCTGATACAGAACATATGCCATCCAGTAGTTGGCATCTGCTTTCCCACAGAAAACCATATTTAATAAGCCTCGGTACTATAAGAAGGTTTTGCAAGTACAGTCGCTCTCACTGCAACGGTGAGGCAGCAGACTATATTTTAGTTCTTGCGGACCATGGACCACAGGTTGGGAACCACTGGTCTAGCTACTTGTGAAATAAGAAAGTACCCCTCTCTCCAGAGTAGGTTTCCAACATAAATTTATGATCTTTTCTTTTGTAAATTAAGTCTCGAACCTAATTATTTAAAGTCTACTAGAATAGAAACGGCACTTCAATAAAAACTCATTGTGGAGTCGGGTATCTGCTTAATGGAGCAAAGGCAGAGTGAAGCCAGCCTTACAATTAGGCCTAAATACATGTTAGTTTTGTGTTGTTGTTGTTGTTGTTATTGTTCCTTCCTCTTCCTCTTCTTCCTCCTTTTTCCCTCCTTCTTTCATTTAAACTAGTGGGTAAGTAAAATCACAATATTGGTTCTGTATATCTGGGATGCTCCTTTTTCATTTACACTTTCCCAATACTTAAAGAAGTCAACGTTGATAATAATTGCAGCCTTCTAATTATGTGTTTTTATTTTTAACAGTATATCAGCTACAACAAGAAGCACCTCGTCCCAAGAGGATAATTTGTCCTCGAGAGGTGAGCCCAACTTTCTTTATATCGTACTATATTGAATTGTCAGCAGTCTTCACATTTCAAATATGCTACACCCTGGGCTTGGAATTATTAACTTATTCATTCACTCATTGAGTTATTTGTTTCATTCTCTGTCATGTTCATTAAAACAGGCAGGTCTACTGAACTAAAGGTATCACATGGCTCTGCTATTAAACAAACTAATAGTCCAAAACACCTGGAGGGCCCAAGTTTGCTCGTGTCTGCTCTAGACTGTAGACTTAATACAGTTTAAGACCACTTTAAGTGCAATTACTGCATGCTATGGAATCCTGGGATTTGTAGTTCAGTGAGGAACCAGCCCTCTTAGGCAGAGAAAGCTCAAGACCTTGTAAAACTGCAACTTTCAGGGACCCAAAGCCGCGAAGTCCTTGGAGAAGTGTGGAATAAGAAAATAATAATAAAAGTATGAGATTTTTTTTATTCAGCCCATCTGATGTTTCGAGGAAGAATGATTTTCTGAACTGAGGCTCCTAATTTAACTAAGCAATAGGATTCACTGAAGGAAAAAATCATTTGACTAATCAGGCTGCTGGGCTTACAAATAATTTTTCTTTTGATCTTTCTGGATGTGTCGTTCACATCCCTACAGCATGGAAGAAAGAAAGACAGATTTTTCTCCTTCCCCAGGGAAGCAGCAACATGGTTCAGATGTTTCTTTAATTTGCTCTAGCTGTCTCATTAAGACAGTAATATGCTTGGCAATTTTTAGCAATGTGTAAAAAAACATTTTCCTCTGTTTCCGTATTAAGAGCACACAAAAATACCTGGGAACATGATGGTTTAAGTTGGATGCCAGTGCTCTTTTTGTTACAGACATGCAATTTCCAAACTATTTTGTTTATTTATTTATTTACAGTATTTTTATGCCGCCTTTCTCAGCCCGAAGGCGACTCAAGGCAGCTTACAAACTGGCAACAGTTTGATGTCACAATAATCATAAAACACAATTAAAAACATTTAGCACACATTATAAAAATCATGTAAAATAATTAAAAACATATAATCACAAGTTACTTCCTGTTAACTGCAGTCGGCCCTTGGTATCCACTGTGGTTTGGTTCCAGCCACCCCTGCCCCCCTCCCAAATACCAATTATATTATATACAGTGGCATAGTAAAACAGTATCCTTTGTACAACATGTCAAAATGAAGATTTACTTTTTGGATTAAAAAAATCAAATCACAGATGCTTGAATCCGTGGGGTGACTATACATGCTACAAGCTGACTGTTAAGTGTATCATAGTAGTGATGGTTTACTCACCATGGTTCAGGACAGATTAACTCAGAAATAAGCCAAATTCTCACTCCCTTCAAAAAAATCAAGAACAGATTTGTATATTCTAAGCTATTACAAATTCTTTACTGATATAAACAAAGTCTTTAGCAGTGATTTACAGAGTGAGGAGGAAGGAGAATAACTAAAACCTTCTTATCCCACCACTTCAGCGTTGATTTGGTGTGGAGGTAAAAGAGGATATAAAATTTTGGCTCAGATTTTAGGACTGAATTCATGAGGAGCTAATGCTAGGGCTCATTTCTACATCCAAGTTCCCCAAAATTTACTAGCATTTGTAACTATGAGAACTAAATTAATTACAGGATTCTTGTGCACTCATTGTCTCCACCCAGAGCACAAAGTCTCTTCTGTATTTCAGCATCATATTGCCCTTCCTTTGCCATCTTTTAATCAGCATCTGGTACAGATGGTGTTATTATGATCTCTTTCTGCATTGGGTATGACTGAATTGTTTATATTACTCTGGTTTAAGAGTGAAATTATCTACTTTTATGAGGCTGGCTGTGGTGCTCCCTCATGAGTCACTACTTTATTCTTGCCTCCTCCTAATCAGGATGGTGAGTCCAAAGCTACGTATCTTACAGAAACATAGAAAAGCAGCTCAGCTAAGAGAAATATAAACCTTATCTTTACATGCCCTTGAACATGTGTATAACAATTGAAGAGTATATGATTCCAAATCTCACTTGGAAAAAGTTAAATGTGTTTTGCACTTTATTGAAGAAAATGGATGTGCTTCAGCTGTGAGAAGTTTGGTGAACATTCTGATATCATAATTTAATCTGGAATATGGATTTCTTTTTAACATTATAGCTTGTCCTTGCTCAATTAAGCTCACAAACAGTATACATCAGGGTCCTCAAACTACAGCCCGCGGGCCAGTCCCACCCCCCTGAGGGCATTTATCCGGCCTGCGGGGTGTGGAGAAGCGACAGGTAACGCAACCCCAAAGCCGCGCCGCCTGCCACCTCCCCCGTCTTCTCCCAGCTTCAGGACAAGGCAAGACCCCGTCCTGAAGCTGGGAGAAGGCGGGGGCGGCCTGGGGAGAAGGCAGGCAGTGCGGGCCCAAAGCCACGCCGCCTGCCACCTCCTCCGGCTTCTCCCGGCTTCAGGACAAGGGGAGACCCCGTCCTGAAGCCAGGAGAAGGCGGGGCCGGCCTGGGGAGGGGACAGGCGGCGCGGGACATGGGCGTTCTGTGTGGGTCATGGACGTTCTGTGTGGTAAGTTTGGCCCAGTTCTATCATTGGTGGGGTTCAGAATGCTCTTTGATTGTTGGTGAACTATAAATCCCAGTAACTACAACTCCCAAATGTAAATGTCTATTTTCCCCAAACTCTACCTGTGCTCACAATTGAGCATATTAAGTATTTGTGCCAAGTTTGGTCCAGATCCATCATTGTTTGAGTCCACAGTGCTCTCTGGATATAGGTGAACTACAACTCCAAAACTCAAGGTCAATGCCCACCAAACCCTTGGACGTGGGAGTTCTGTGTGCCAAGTTTAGTTCATTTTCATCATTAGTGGAGTTCAGAATGCTCTTTGATTGTAGGTGAACTATAAATCCCATCTCCTAAATGACAAAATCAACCCTCCCCCAACCCCACCATCATTCAGATGTCATCGTATCAGATATTTGTGCCAAATTGGTCCAGTGAATGAAATACATTCTGTATTTAAGATATTTAAATTACAATTCATAACAGGAGCAGAATTGCACTTCTGAAGTAGCAACAAAAATAATTTTATGGTTGGGGGTCATCACAACATGAGTAACTGTATTAAGGGGTCGCGGCATTAGGAAGGTTGAGAACCACTGATCTATGGCAAGCATCCTCAGAGGTTGTTAGTGACAACAATCCTATCTCTTCAGCCAAAAGCAGGCCCACACTTCCCATTGAAATACTAATAAGCTTATATCTGTTAAAATTGTTCTTTATTTATTGTATTGTTTTAAAGTGTTTTTTGCACTACAAATAAGATATGTGCAGTGTGCATAGGTATTCATTCATGGGTTTTTTTCACATTATAATCCGGCCCTCCAACAGTTTGAGGGACCGTGACCTGGCCCTCTGCTAAAAAAGTTTGAGGACCCCTGGTATGCATACTTCCTCAGTCTTATGCTTTCCTTGCAACAACTCTGGAATAATATATTCTGGGAAAGTGATCATCCCAAAACTGCAGGTGGGCCATAGCTCATCAGTACACCTTATGGTTTGTATACAAAACATTCAATCTCTGAGACTATCTCAACTATTGCTCCAAATTATGGGATTTCCTAAAATCAAAGAGCAAATATACACAAATATATTTCCACTGGAACATTACTCAAAATGTTTAGTTATCCCTTCACATTTGAGAACATCTCATATCAAGCAACATTGTATATTACAAAATAGATGAAACCAAATATTGCTAATTTCCAAGATCCCTCAACTTGGTCATAAAGGGGAGGTACCCTTTAAATCTTCCTCTGAGGATGGAGTAATTTTGTAAAAAGTATTGTCCTCCTATCCTTCCCTTTGAAGAGCAACATATTGTTCATTCTGTTTATTATCTTGGCAGTGTACTGAAGGTTTCAAAAATTGCTGACCATTATTCTAAAAGCCCTGTCATGTGCAAGTGGAAATTTATCTGAAATGTTTGTGCTACAGACAGAAAATGCCCTCCTGAAATTTATTTGGTTTGTTAAAATACCATGCTAGCATAGATAATAAGATATGTAATGGATTGGGGCTGGAGAGTGAAAATATTTTGTCGGCTTCTGCCATCAATTCAACATGAAAAAGAAATTGGATTTTCATTCAAAAATGCCTTTTTACTTTTCAGCCAGAGGTGACAAGCACAAATGTCAAAAGTATAAACAAGCATAAGTAGTAATTCAATACAAGGGCTACTGTTTCAATTGTTGCTGTTATGGTGGTATGGATCTTGTAAAATTTACTAATGTCTGCAAAAAGTCATGATGGTGATGCAGGTGTCCTCTGTGCCTTTAGTCTTTTCCCTGTGGCGTTTTAATAAATTAATGTAAATTTAACCAAAGTACAGTAAAATAAGATTGGAATTTGACTTGAGAGACTTCAGTGTGATTTGTTCTTTAATTGTTGGTTTCTAAATTAGGAATGTTTTAGGATTGAATTAAAATATGGAACAAAACATTTCATCAGTCCTGAATCTTTCTCAATCCTTAAGTGATTTTAACATATATCTTAGGATCAGGATATGTATGCCTATACTAGAAAGTCATCTCAAACAATTTGGATAGCCTTGGTAGCAATAACCTGGGGGATTACAAAATTACTCACTTGATCATGGAAAGCCGTTGAATGACTTTAGGTGAGTCACACACTCTCAGTCCCAGAAAATCATGTGATAGGTTTGCCACAGTGTTGCCATAATTCCGAAAAGACTTGAAAGCACACAGGAACAAACTAGGGACAGTTGGTCTATCATCAGTTGCAGATAGTATACATTTTAATTTTTATGCTAAGTATCTCAAAAATTGGAAGACGACATCTTGAACCAAAGATTGGCATAATTGTATGAGATGATGTTATATGAGCCAGCTTCAAATGTGTTACCATTTGATAAATGATTGAATGGAATATGCAAATTTTGGGCACAATGGAAAGAAAGAAAATCTGTTTGGAATGAAACAATCTGT